GAAATCTACCTGATGACTTTATATCCATGCTCAGGTGCCAAGGATCTCAGAAAGTAACTGACTGTGACTAGTAATAATCAGATCTATAGAGATTAGAAATGCACGTTCAAACATCTTAATGTCAATTGCATTAAAAACGAATTTTTTTGTATGAAACTGTATTTTAATAATGAAATGGACATCTTTTTTAAAGGTTAAAACCCCATTTAATTTTATGTCTGATAGGGTTTGTACTGTGTACAATATTGTATAACTGTAATAATTCAACTGTAAACCTAAAAATTTACAGCCAATTTTGAAAGAGATACATCTTAGCTCAGAAAATTGTTATTGAATATGTCAATGCTGTTGTAATGAAATGCTTCTTCTAAGTATGTGGTTATTAAATAAATAATTTTTTTAAAAAGTTATGTCTATCAAAATATCATATACCATGCTGGGCATGGTGGTGCATGCCTTTAATCCCAGCACTCGGGAGGCAGAGGCAGGCAGATCTTTGTGAGTTCAAGGCCAGTCTGCTCTACATAGAGAGCTCCAGGCCAGTTGGGGCTACAGGAAGACAATGTCTCAAAAATACCAAATAAAAAAAAAAATCATACACCATTCCATGGAAATATGAAAATAATTGATGTAAAATTTTAAATATTTTTCCATAACACTATAGCTTGACATATTATCAAGACTGTACAATGTCCTGGTATTTTCATGATGGATTTTTCTAGGGTTTGAGAGCTTTGATACTTGGATAACTACTGTTCCCCCTTTGTTATGTAAATGAAGATACTATGTACACTTTAGGATTCTCCATGTTGTATATACGCATGAATATTTTCACATATTCACATATTTACAGAATATGTGTCAACTTCTTGATACTTATCTGCTCCATTCACACTATGAATTCTATGATAGTAAATAAGATATTAATCTTATAATTTTGTGAGGTTAGTGATCACTATGAAATTTCTGGCATTTTTTAAGACAGGAGCCAAATGGTGGCTGATATTTTTTTTTAGCTGTAGGTTTTATCTACAATAAGGATTCTGCAATATCCAACAAGACTGGATGGAAAACTAAAGATTTTCTTACATGCTGTATGTTTCTAGTTTCTCCCAAATATGAAATTTTTCATTGAATTAGAAATAAATTTTCATTAGATTTTTAAAATTTGTATTTAATTCTAGTATAGTATGAAGTTTTATAATACATAATATAAATGTTTCAACATTTTCAATACATTTAAACACATCCCTCTAGTATGGATTCTGTTTTGTTTCCTAAGGTTTGAGCCCAGAGTAAAGGATTTACCACATTCTGTGCAACTGTAAACTTATCTGCAGTATGAATTTTTGATGTTATACCCTTTGATATACAGTTAAAGGAATTTCTAAATTACTTATATTTGTAGTGTCTCCTTTTATTATGAAGTTTTTGATGTTCACTAAGAACTGACATGCTGGTAAAGGATTTCTCACACCCTTCTCATTTGTTGGGTTTCTGTCTAGTATGATTTCGCTGATGTAATTGAAAACTTAACTGCCAAGTAAATGCCTTGTCACATAGTTCACATCTGTAGGGCTTCTCTCCAGTATGAATTCTCTGATGTACTCTAAGACTTGAAATTTGACTAAAACACTTGTCACATTCTTCACATCTGTAGGGTTTCTCTCCAGTATGAATTCTGTAGTGTTTCTTAAGTGTTGAGCTGTCAATAAAGGACTTGTCGCAGTCTTGACATGTGTAGGGTTTCTCTCCAGTATGTCTTCGCTGATGTACTCTAAGATGTGACCTATGACAAAAGGTCTGGCCACATACTTCACATTTATAGGGTTTCTGTCCAGTATGAATTCTCTTATGTATTAGAAATTTTGACATGCCAGTAAAGGCCATATCACATTTTTCACATCTGTAGGGTTTCTTTACAGTATGAATTCTCTCATGTACTCTAAGAGTTGACATTTGCTTAAAGGATTTTCCACATTCTTCATATGTGAAGGGTTTCCCTCCATTATGAATTCTTTTATGCACTCTATAATTTGACATGTGATTACAGGACTCACTACATTCTTTATATTTGTAGGGTTTCTCTCCATTATGACTTTGCTGATGTAATTGAAAACTTGACATCCTAGCAAAGGACTTGTCACATTCTTCACAATTGTAGGGTTTATCTCTAGTATGAATTCTGTAATGTTTCTTAAGTTTCGAACTATCAGTAAAGGACCAGTCACATTTTTCACATCTGTAGGGATTCTCTCTAGTATGAAATCGCTGATGTAATCTAAGATATTGCATTCGACTAAAGGACTTGCCACATTCTTTGCATATGTAAGGTTTCTCTCCAGTATGTATTCGCTGATGTACTCTAAGATGTGACATTCGACCAAAAGATTTGCCACATTCTTCACAGGTGTAGGGTTTCTCTCCAGTATGTATTCTCTGATGTAATCTAAGATATGGCATCCGACTAAAAGACTTGCCACATTCTTCACAGGTGTAGGGTTTCTCTCCAGTATGTATTCGCTGATGTAATCTAAGATATGGCATCCGACTAAAAGACTTGCCACATTCTTCACAGGTGTAGGGTTTCTCTCCAGTATGTATTCGTCTATGTTCTCTAAGATTAGCCATTCGACGAAAGGACTTGCCACAATCTTCACATTGGTAGGTCATCTCTCCATTATGCATTGTCTGATGGCTTCTAAGGCATGACATTTGAATAAAGGACTTATCATATTCTTCACTTGTGTCAGGGTTCTCTAAATTATACATGCTCTGATGTCTTCTAAGAGTTGAGTTCTCCAGGCAAAGCAAAAAAGAAGACAGCATTTCAATAAAGAGAATAAGGCTGAGACAATCACACATACAGATACATACACATGAATAGAATTCCCAAAAAAATCTACGGAGTAAAAGGAGATGAAATCCAAACTAAAGTGAGAATTCTTTAATAAAAGGAGATTAGAAAATATTTGAAAAATAGACAAATACATGGATATAGAATCACAAGAGAGTCGTTTAGAAAGGCCGAATAACTATTACCAGAGCTCTGCATTCCAAGCCATAGGCAACATGAGAAAAATAGTGAGAGAGGAAAAAAAAAAGCAATATTAATCCTATTAGGGAAAACACCCATTCATTACAAAGGCAGGAAGTTCACAATAGTATCACAACACATGCCAACAAAGACCAGAACCAAAACAGCATGGCATAATTTAAAAATAAATCTAAGGTGCTGGAAGTGAACATATTAATGAAAAGTGACTTGTAGAAAATGTCTCTTAAAATTGATAGAGGAAGCCAGGTGTGGTGGCGAGCGACTTTAGTTCCAGCACTTGGGAGGCAGAGGCAGGAGGATCTCTGTGAGTTCAGGGCCAGCCTGGTCTACATAGTGAGTTCCAGTCCAGCTGGAGATGCAGGGAGACCCTGTCTCAAAAAGACAAAAAAAAATTGATGGAGGAAGAAATTCATATGAAGAAATGCACCAATTCATGGCTAGCAAGTCATCACTTCAGAATTTATGGAAGCAAACAGGATACACAGAGGAGAAAGACATTCTCATTCATGGGAACAGAAATCAGAATACAATTGTAAAGGGTAATTGATGAACACACTATGTTCTAGAAGGAATACACCATTAGCAGCACAGAAAAGAAAATAAGGCCAATATTAATCCTAATAAAGAAGGAAATGCCTGTGAATGATTCTGACAACCAGAATGCCAGCAAAATCATAGTGAATAATGGTACTAATCTATTATAGTCTCACAATAATATTACTAAATGAAAATAGTCTCAGGTCACCAATTAAAAGACAGAATCTAGAAGAATGGATTCAGTCAGATTTAAGTATCTCTTCTGTCCAAGAAACACAGTTTACTGATAATGACATCCAGAAACCTAGAATCAATTATAGAAATTAAACTATTACTTAAAAGAATATATAAACAAGTTCAAATATCAGTTCCTGTATATCATAAAGCAGCCTGTAAGGAAAAGTAGGAAGAAGACATAAAATGATCAGCATATGCCAGGCATGGCAGTGCATGCTTTTAATCCCAGCACTCAGGAGGCAGAGGCAGGAGGATCTCTGTGAGTTCAAGGCCAACCTGGTCTAATAGTGAGTTCCAGGTCATCTAGGACTACAGGGAGGCCGTGACTCAAAAAAAAAAATCAGCATATATTAGTAAAAAGGCATTTATAAAAACAGAATTGTAAATATTTTTGCAATTAACTTTATGATTCCTAATTTTATAATATAAAATCGAGTTAAAAAAAAGGTTAAGATTGATTTTGATATAACAATTGAGAAATGCCAGTCCACCACCATAAATTCTACGTAGATTTTTTTAACATTTGGGGAAAAATAATCCTCAAGATTTGAATTACATAATAGATGAACAAAATTTCAATGATATCCCACTGTGTAAATGTCCCAAACTTTCATCATTCTCGCATGTCAATATCCCAAGGTGAAGAGTCCCTAGATGATATAATGAATATGCACATTCCTTCACATTATTAGTATTCTTTGATCAGAGCACATTATAACCATTCTCTTGCTATTTTCCAAGCAGAAAGTATAGTGAGAACTAAGGTAATCTCGAACTTTTTAACTTCTCATTTGAAACTAAATTTTATCTATTTTCTCTCATATTGCCACACAGTTCATTGTGCATATTTTTCATCTGATCTACAACTGAGAAAAATTATTCATCAGTTAAAACATTATATTTTGGCTCCATCTTTAGAGGTTTCAGTCCAGTATCCCTGGGGCTCAGAGACTAACAGACAATGGCAAGACTGAACCATGAGAGGGAAGGTCATGACATAAGAATCTTATCCCATGGCTGACGAGAATTATATAGAGAAGGAAAGTGCCTGAAGAAGACACAGCCTCCAAACCACTGCTCTGTGAACTGTATCGTATCTGTGAAAAATACCGAAGTCACAAAGATTTTGAATAAAGAAACAAGCATATGAGCAGCATGAGAAAGCGTGCATTCCAAAGAAGCCAGGACTGACTCGCTCGCAACAACAGGAGAATGTGCAGTTTCCCAAACTCAAAGAACATTTTCAGGGACGAACTGGGCAACAGAGTAAGTCTTAAATTTTACACAAAATCAACATTTCACAATTTCTTTCCTGACAAACCTGGAACATAGACATCAACAGTAGGTAGAAAACAGAGGAATCTCCAAATGCCATGTAGACAGTCAGACATTGACACATTCTTATTTAAAATGGGAAGAGAATATAGAACTTCATGCTATATAAATATTCTAAGTGGTTCTCATCAAAGTCTTATAATCAATTTTGGAAGAAATGCATTAATAATTGTAAAACAATAAAAAATCACAAAGAATCAGAAGAGGACAAACATTGTCAAATCAGAAACAAAACTAACAACATAATATTTACTAATTTCAGGATATCTTAGAAACTTGAATCAATAGGCCTTAGCATATGTAGTAGAATACATGAAATCTAGCGGGGGGATGTTTGAGGGGTGCAGAACGAGAAGGGTATATAAAGATGATTAAGATGATTTTTATGAAATGCACAAGAATTTAATAAAAAGTACACATTGAAAAAATGTAGTAAAGGAAAAATACATAGGAAAAAAATCAGCTATTAGCTTGTATTGGCAAGAATCGTGACATGGGAGATAAGGAAAAATGAAATAAACAATTAAATGAAGTGATGCTTGTATAATAGTCATTTCCACATAATTCATGTGCAGTAAAGAAAATCATTTGATATTTACCACAGGACAAATCTTGATGGAATTGCTATAAATCAAACGTTGGGTCAGCATGTCCTCTAAGGAAACTAGAACTGAGCCTGCTAAAGACAGATGCTGAGCACACTGGGAAAAAGGGAAGGAGTAGTTGCCATTTTGAAATGAACAACATAGACTGCGTGCAGGTGGAACATGCCCTGATGGCATGGATCTCAAGTATGGGCGAGAAAGAGCTCATGAGAGTTCATGTCTTTGTTTTGTTGTTGTTTTTTTGGTTTGTTTTGGGGGGAGAGGGTATCCCTGTAGAAACAGCTGGCCTGGAACTCACTATATAGACCAGGCTGACCTTGAACTCACTGAGATCTGCCTGCCTCTACCTCCTGAGTGCTGGAATTAATGGTGTGTACCACCAGGCCCAGCTGAGTTCATGTCCTTGTAAGTGACAGTCTAAACTTCGTTGGCAACCCCCAAATAAATATTCTTATTTCCCAAACTGCAACGTAAGAGGACATTGTGATGGTTTAGTTAGAACTGCACTCTCTGAGATTCCAGAGAGCAAATGCGGGTCTCTCAGGGGAAAATTTGGCATGACAAAATTGGCATAGCATGGCTAGATGGACAAACTGCAGGAGACCAGGGAAAACAATGGGGATGTGGGCCTTGGAAAGCTTTGTGGCACAAGCAGTGAGCTAATTGAAAGGGAGTTATGTTTAGATTCCCAAATCCAGAGAGGCAGAGGTGGGTGCCACGAGGCTCCTGTGAGCTAACACTACCAATCCTGGAGAAATTGGCTGGAAGTGGTTAGCAGCAGTTGCACGGGTTATGAGATAGTAAAACATGTAACTGAAAAGAGACCTGCCATGCAGATGTGGACAGACTCAAACATTACATCCTGTAAATGTTGTAAAATAGCTCAGTTGTTTGAGAGATGGGGGTCATACCCACATATGTATGAAAATTCTTTAAGGATTGTGGAAAGGCTAGGAAAGATTTTACAAGCCTTGGATGCAAAAGGGGAATCCAGAGAGATGGCTTGGCCACTGCTTTGCATAATAAAAGATTTGTCCAAGGCAAAGGCAACAGCCTCAGGGGAGACTAAAAAGACCAAGGAATTACTGCCAAATTCAGTCTCAGCCTCAGAGCTTAAGGATAAACCAAATAAATCTTGGGAGAGAGGGAAAAAAATGGGAGATTTTAACTTACTTAAGGTTAGGGGGCCAGGAGTCAAAGGACCCAGGGAAAAGAACAGATGGTAATGAGATAAGAAATGACCTAGAAATAAAAGTAGCTAAAGCTGGCCCTCGGGTTCAACCTTTAATACAAAAAGAGAAAAAAGTCCTATTTCATCGTGCTGATGAAAACCTTATTAATACTGTAGCCAACAGAAAATACTCCACACTGGTATGGTTGGGACTAGGAAAGACATTCAAACAAGCAATTAAAGAGCCCCTCACCACATGGCTCATGAGGGTATGGGACATGGGAGCAAATAACCAATACACGGGGAGCAGTCCCTAACAGAATGGCTTGTACAAGGCATTAAAGATGCGTGGTCATCAACAATGGAGACTCCCATGATTAGCAGGGGCTGGAGGACTATAAGAGGGGCAGCGTTACTGAGAGAACTAGGTATAAGGAAGGTAATATATGATGCCCAGTTCTCTGGGCCAGATAGGGCTGTGTACACCAGAGATATAAAGGAAAGCTTAATTCAACAGGTACCTTGAGAATGGAATGGAGCTTTAATGGTTTTGCTGAGTCCCTTAATGGGACAGGATCTTTGTAAAAGTGAGGGAGTGTTTGACAGATTTAAGTGACTCAAACCAGCATGTAAAACATGTCAGTAGAATAATAGAAAACCCACAAGAGATATAAAAAAGACAAGACAGAAAAAGTGGTGTGTTTGTGTTACTCGAAGACAAGATGTGGCAAGATTTATGTGAAGCCCAAGTTCCTTTAAAAAAAATTTGATAAAAAACCAAATTCAGTACTGAGTATCTGCAAGGATTTAAAACCTGAAGAACAGTTCA